GTTCTCCAAGAATTTTAGTCCAGTACCTTGACAAGGTCCGCATCTCTTAGATTGAGCTATATTCATTCTTCAATTTGAGGCACTTGTTGCTTTTGAAAATATTGCCTCAACCAATGATGAAAATACCCTAATTTATTAGAAATTCCTGTATGTTAAGGTCTTCAATATCGATATGAAGAATAAGAAAATTTCTGTAGAATCTCAGCAAAAATCTGTACGTTGCAGAGAAATATATACATCAACAACATCCGTGCCTTAGTCCCGAAATATTTTTGAGAAATATCGGGAAGTATAAAAAAACCTTACATATTGTTGTCCCCCCAAAGTTTTCTGATATTGGTGTTGAAGTATCCACCGATATCCTTTAAATTCAAAGTACAAGATATTTTCCACAAATACCATCTTTTTTTACTTGACTTAAACTTTATACTAAACCCTTCAAGCATTAGATGTTTACTTTAGAAGCTCTTTTAAAAGTTACACTCATAATGTATACCATATATGTTAGTGAAGGGTTTGATAGTTTATGGCTTTATGCTAAGGGAGAGAACAATATGGGGCTGTTTACTTTCGACTTAGTGGACTTATTGAGAATAACGACATAATCATTCAACCATTAAGTCATGTTTACTTGCGACTTAATTGATAGCATGACTCAATTATTCAGTCAAAAAAACTGACTTGATCATTAAGATGGAAAATAATAATCCTTCCCATTAAGACGTCTATTAAGATGTCTTTTATGTCAACTTTTTTAAATCAATTGTGGAATAGATTTATGTATATAAATGAAACTTCTCATGGACATTATAACCCAAGAATACTACTAAATTGATTATTTTACTCAATTCAGATTGTTTATTCAGCACACAAAATAAATGGCCTCATATACAAATAACACTTAATCCAGACATACATCTTAATCTAGACACGACTTAATAGATAAAAAGTAAATAGCCCCTAACAAGGTGAAGTCTATTAGAGACCCCCATGTAGACCATTATAAGGTATTTTATGTCATGCAGTCTACTGTTGGCACAAACTCTTCAAAGGGTCTTGGATGGGAGAAATTCTTTCATTCTTCTTCCTATAAAGAAAGGGCAGCCCGGTGCACGAAAGCTCCCCTCAAGGGAGCTTATCAATATTTCATCTCTTCTCTTTGTAAGCCTTGAACCACTTCCAAATAGTAGCTCGTCTAACATTTGGACTGGTGTCCAGGTGGTTACTTTCATTTTACAGACAATGGATCCTGGTAACTCGGTCATGCGTAAGGCTTGCTCGCAAAGTTCAACGGTTGCATTGAAGGAAGTTGTTCGTGTTTTTCCTATGGTAGCCCTAAATGATTCATTGAAAAAGTTGGCCATTGGAGATGCATTTGGTGAGATAAACAATACAAGCATTCGCATATATGATATGCAAAGGTAAGAACTGAAAACATTTGAGTTTGAGAATACAAACCACTTGGATTGCTTAGATAGTTTGATGTTTAAAACTTATATACTCATGTATAGTTGCATTCAGCATATACTTCATATCGTTTCCAACTTTTGTTTATAATACATCAAAGGCTGATTTTATGGAATTTTCTGTGCTAGTCTAACAAAGTGAGTTTTATTATCCCATTCTCTTTACGGTAAAGATATCACTGCCTTTTCTTTTCAACAAATATTCAGCATTACAAAAATAAAGATCTTGGATGCAAGTGGACCACCTGGACTTCCAAGTTTGCTAGGAGGTTCAGAAATGGCTGTGAATTCTGCTATATCTGCTCTTAGCTTTTCACCAGATGGAGAGGTATTCTAATTTTTATTATGCTTTTTAAGCTGGGTTTCTATTGTGCGTTTGTTCCTATGAACTAGCCACCCATGTTCTCTGTGACTTTTGAGCTGTCGTTTTATATCTACATCTATTCCCTTGGCTTGTTGGTTGTTATTGATAAGGTGTATAAGCTCAATTGGTCGATATTTGTAATGGCTCAGATATTCAGTTCTCTGTTTGATAGCACAGCAACATGTATATCCTTCTCTTCAGTGTTTTTCTTTGTGTCCAAAATTTTTCATGGGTTTGTCTGATCATCAATTCTTGTCCCTTTATGTTCTTCAAACTAAATTGCTAATGTAAGCATTAGTTTGTACTTTCATATGGGTCATCCGGAAACAATCTCTCTTGGTAATACTGCGTACATCCGACCCCCCCCCTTACGCCACTGTAGGTGACAGCCTTTGCGGTACTGGTGTAATGATGATGATGAGCATTAGCTTGTACTTTACTTTTATGCCTGCTTTAATTACCTGTCTGTATTGTCTTATTTCAAGCTCTTCTTTGTTATGTAATTTCTTGGGTAGTTGGGTGTAATGGCCATATGTTATTTTGCCACTCCACTACATTTCCCCTTTGGATTTTATTTTGTGATTTTTGTTTACAAAGTATTTATCGAAGTCATCTAAATTCTTAAAAAAGAAAATTGACATCTTCCAAAAAATCCTAAAATTTTGGAAATGGCCTCTCTAGTCCTAGGGATAAAGGCAGGGTCGGCATATATCTCACCTTCCCAGACCTTTCTTTCGATTGGGATATATTGGGTATGTTTAGTTCTTCATGCCCAACTGCATGCTGTCGTAGCCCTCTGTTATTCAGTCTAAGTGTATTGAGTCTTAGTTTTATAAAAAAGATCGCATTAAAATTAAATTTTTGTACATTTGTGTCACACTTGTAAGCTGTTTTAACTCTTCATCCGATGAGTGCTTTCCTATGTAGTACAAATGCTTCAATTACTTGCCTTGTCTCTGTAAGCAAATTCTCTCGCATGGTGTGCCAGATAACTTACAATAAATATTCTGTTGAACTGTAAAATGAAATTTGAATATGGTATAAATTTGATTCATAAAATCAGAAATTATAAAAGGAAATAAGTTGAGCGCTTGAATAGTGAAATAGAACCATATTTTGAATACATGTTATAATATTTAATACTCCTATTAACAAATACAACCACATACACGTATCCAACTCTTTGTGAGACCGCTGTATTGATCCATATCTGTGTGCCCAGGCTTCTGACTTTCTGCGTTTCTCTGTTTGTGCTACATAGGGTGCTTTCAAACCCCATGAGTTGATGTTTTGTTTTAAGGATGTAAATTATGCTGCAGGGGCTACTTGCTTTCTCTGAGAATGGACTGATGATTAGATGGTGGTCTCTAGAGTCTGTATGGTGGGAAAAGCTTACCCGTAATCTCGCTCCTGTTCAGTGCACCAAATTGATTTTTGTTCCACCATGGGAGGGGTTCTCACCTAATTCAAGTAGGACTAGTATAATGACAGCTGCTGCATTTCCCAAAGATGGGCACAATACATCAAAGGTACTTTCAGATTTATTTCCCACTTCATAAGAATATTTGCACGATTGGATAACCATATTCATTCCTTTATTGTATTATTATTGTTGACTTGTTGTTGATGTCTTACAGGAGAGCTTTGAGGCTTCGAATGAAATGGACAAATTAAAACTGTTGATTCATAATATTGACTTGTCCTATAGATTAGAATGGGCAGGAGAAAGAAAAGTAAAGCTCACACATCATGGCCGCGAATTGGGTATTTTCCAGCTTCAAGTGTAATTCTTCTTTGTCTTCAACCTTTCTTGTGCATTCTACTATTCTTTTCGGTTAAATAGGGGTGTAAACAAGTTAATGATATTCGGTCTTCAATGATTTTTGTCTTGATTTTTGAAGTGCATGTTTACTGTAACTGGGGACATTGAATCTAATGTATATATAAGCTTTTAGCGGTGCAATGTTGCAGCCATTCTTAGCTTTTTACTAATTGATATGTTATGAATTGAGGCTTGGGTTGCTCAAAAAAATATTAAAAGACATTTATTCTCACCGGAAATGGACATTCCATGTTGGGCAAATGGTGACTTCTTTTTTTAGTACATGTTCAGACTTCAGAGTATTAAACAAATAATGCAAACGAACCAATGCCGGTCAATTAAAGGCTTTTTTCTCGGAAGAGGACCAACTTCTTAGCAATGTGGGGTTTTAATCCTGAATGCTATGGTACCCATAAAACTGTACTTACTATGCATTTAATTGGTCATAGTCAGTATCTCATCATTTATTCATATTAAAATTACGTAGAATTTAATTGCAATTTTTTATTAGTCTATGTGAACAAGATATGGTATTTTGAGGTACCATAAAATATGCTTTTATTTTATTACATGGGTGGGTAAGGGACAATTCATGCCATGCCACTGTGTCAGTCAAAGCCACAAAAAGATGACAGAATGAAAATATACACATTGCTATAAATTAGTATAAAACATGTTAAAGGTAAAAATAAAACATGCGCGAAGTTGGTCTGAGCGTAATTTGTTTTCAAAATAAGTGTTATGTAATCCCTAAATAAGAAATTACTTAAAATATGAATAAAACACATTTTAGGCAGGCTTGGACTCGGGCCGGGCCGGGTCTTGGTCGGGCCTAGGCGGGCCGGCGGTTCAGAATTGGTGGACTCGGGACCGGCCCGGGTAGCCACCGGGTCTGGGCCGGGCCTTCATTTTTTTTTTTTTTTTTGCTTTCCCAACCCCCTCTCACCCCCCAAACCCCTCCTAACCATCTAGCCCAACCCGGGTGGAACCCCAAAAAATGAAAAAAAAATTAATTTGGCCCGGACCCGGGCCCGACCAGGCTGGGCCGGTTCGCCAAATGTAAGACCCGAGCCCGGACCTCCCCACGGGCCTAGGCCCGACCCGGACATGAGAACCGGGCCAGTCCCGGTCCCGGTCCCGCACAGTAGCGGGCCGGGTGGTCCGAACCGGGTCCAAGACTATTTTTAGGAAATAGGGCTAAGTATGTTTAGTTCTTTTAATAGGACGTTTTTTAAAAACACTTTTTTCTTCTAATAAGACTTATTCAGTCTTATTAGAAGAATAAAACAATAAAAACTTGCAAAATTGAAGAAAATGCTTTATTTTGAGCAGAAACGGATGATACCCATTTTTGTAAAATGTACGTGCTATTCTTTACTTCTATTTCGTGGATTATCTATACTGAATTCAGCTGAAACAATATATTTACATAACTGAATGATCAAGATATAATTGACCATACTTATAGTGATGCTAACTGTCCAAGTAACAGATTGATAGATGCTAATATGTAACTAACTAGAGATTATTGCGGGAGGGATAGTTTGGCAAAGAAGAATAACAAAACTGTGACATTAGCCCTTCCAGATCCTCTAAACCTGCAAAGAAATCTTCACCATCATCCATTATCACCGGTTGCTTCTCCGGCGCCATATCACCACTTATTTCTACCAATCTCTCCTCATCTTTTATCGACGTTACTGTTGCTTCCTCCTTGCTGGACGCCGGGGATAGATCCGATGAAGAAGAAGAAGAAGATGGCTCTTTACCCTGATGATGATGCGATATTATTTGTGCAAGAAGAAGCTGTGGAGTCGGTTTTGAAGTGGAGGTAGGAGCAGCAGCACTGGCAGGTGGATTGAACTTGTTGTTTCTCATAGTTCCGGCGAGGGAGTTGCGCCGCGTGGGGTGGCTGTGGCTGTGCTCCGCCGTGTAGGTGACTATGAACATCCCCGGCTCACTATTGCTTTTCTCCACTTGCTTCCTCGCTAAACACCCTTTCGCGCTACTGCACCTATAATAGCTCCTGCATGCCCAAAAATAAAGCTAGCTAATCAAGTTTCTAGTTTTGCATCTCATATCAATATGGGGGTGTTTGGAACTGATTCTGCTTCTGCTTCTTTTTTAAAAGCAGAAGCAGAATCAGAATCAGTTTTCAGAAGCTGGTACCCCCCAGCTTCTAAAAAAACTGATTCTGAGAGTAAATTAGAGCTCCAGAAGTGCTTCTGGAATTTCACCCAAACACTCCAGCTTTTGCTTCTGCTCCCTGAAGGAGCAGAATCAGTTTTGAGAATCAGATCCAAACACCCCCATGATCCATGGAGGAACTAATACAACATGACAGTATGAAGAAAGAAGTAGTGGTTTTTAGTTAAAGAAAATAACCCTATTTAAAAGGTCAAAGAGTAAATTTTCTTGGGCCCAAAATGATTTCTAATTTTCCGTTTTTAACATCAACTTACGATAAAATAAATGAAAATTCTATTAATAGGAGTAAAAGTTATGTGAATTTTTAAAATGGGAGTACTATTTTTCCGAATAGGAGTGCATTAGTGTCATGTTGAAAAATAATAGGAGTATCATATCTTGGAATTACCAAAAGTTAATATGATAGTGTTAATGCCACAACTGAAGCATTTTTTCAAGAATGACCATAATTAGTCCTATTTTCTCCTATATACTCCGTAAGAGAAAACACCGTACATCTATTATAGAATTTCATGTTGATTTTACTCATATTTGGGCAATTTATTTGAAATAGATCTTCTTCAGTGACTTAGGCAAGAGGATCCATCTGTCTGATCCGGTATAAAGAGTTTTCAAAACATTTTTCTTATATAACTTTTTACGGTGTATATAGAAGCATCTTTAAAATTTGGGATGGTTCGGTGTTTAGTATGCCCCTTGATCTTTAAGCTAATATTTAATTCAGCTTTGGTTATGAAGTTTATATAACTAAAACCACATTTAAAATTTTATAGGTCACCAAACGAAATTAGTGTATGCCAAAAGTTGATACGAAATAGAAGAAAAAAGAACTATATTAATAATTAAAATACCCCAAACTTTGAAGGGTGCGAGATAAACATCCTAAACTTTCATATCTAACTTAAATACCCCAAACTTTATGTAGAAAGTTATTTTAACACCATGATCATGTATCATTTCAAAATTTTATGAGTCAATCGCATAATTTAAAATAGCAAATTGAAAACATTCCATTTATATAGATTGGGGGGGGGGGGGGGTAATACTATTACTCCATATTTTACAATGAAAGTTTAGAATGCTAATTTTATTTTCATGAATGCTAAAATGTTTTTAAGTTATGAAATTAACACCAATTATTAATATTTTTGAAAAAAAATAATACAAGATTATGGCGCTAAAATAACTTTTTATATAAAGTTTGAGATATTTAAATTACATATGCAAGTTTCGGGTGCTAACCTCACACTCCGTCAAAATTTGGGATATTTTAATTATTTTTCCCTTAATAAAAAAAGGATAAATCATTTTGAAAGGGAGGAAAGTATGACAATTAAGACCATGACATGCGTATAAACTGAAGCTCTCACACGGCATGCGTATGCCATGCATGACATCACCATATATTATGATAAAAAAAAGTATAGGTCTAGCTAAGGAAAGAGTGAAAGAGGGAATCTTTTTAATTATGGTATGCTATACTTTTTTCTCAAATTAATTTAATATTTTGTTTTATTTTTAATTTTGGTAAGATTTTGTTGTAAAAATAAGATTGGGCCCCTACTTTACTAATCACTTACCTCATTTATTTTATTTGGTCTATATTAACTTCCTTTACCATATTAAGGGTAATTTTGAAAAGTAAACTTATAATTTTTCATATCTAAAAACGCGTAAAGATAAACTAGAAAATTAATTTATGGAGGGAGGAAGTAATTTTCTCATCAAGAGGGAGATAAGTACCTAGGATAGGGTGAGCCTTTAATCGGTTTCTGCCCGTATTTTCGCCAAGCCCACTTATCATCTTTAGAAAGCTCCTCAGCTCCTACTTGAATCACCACTCTTTTATGCCCATTCTTCCTATACCATCCATAACATGAAAACCTCAAATTATATACTTCGTATATGCAGAGTAATCAGGGCCGTCTAATGAATTTGGAGGCCCCGGTGCAAAATGTAAAATCGGGGCCCCACATTAATATAAAAAAGTAAGAAAAAAATCTCAATTCAAATACTTATACTCAAACCAATGGAATACTCATTAGAAGAGAGCTAAAAAAGTAAAAGGACCAACGAGAAAAATGATGTATCTATATTTTTCTTCTTTACTAGCTAACTTTTTTTTACTGATTAGTATTAGTATACAATATTACTATATAATACTAATATGTTTTTAAAAATATGGGGCCCCTTAAATTTGGGGGCCCTGTTCTGGATAACCTATCGAACCCCCTAAAAAACGGCCCTGAGAGTAATCAAAGACTTGTCAGTTCATAGTATTTTTCGAGACTATATTCTTTGTTTAAAACTACATGTGATATCTATACTTTATAAAAAGAGACACATTATAAGAGTAGTCCAAATAAGTCCCATGACTTGTATGTATACAAGTTAGTCCAGTGAATGTTTTGACAGTACCGTCTAAGCTCAAATTAAACAAGAAAACCGACCCGACTAATACTAAAAAATATATACTTGTAGCATATTACTGATAAAATTGATCTGATCTAACATGATACCATTTTTCGAAGACATGTTCGATCAGCAATCCATTTGCAAAAGATTAACATACAAATTAAGCTTTTAAATTATGATGGAATCTCAAACCAAACCTTTAATATATTTACTCAATAAGTTCAGATATACTTGCAATTGGTCTCATCGAAAGGATCCAACTACTAATATATACTAAGTTATGTTGCACAGAAACGTGAGAATCATTGGAAACAGGATTTGGGAAACATCTTTTTCTAGCAACAAACTATCTGTTTGGAAGGTTTCTGAAGAGTTTCTGATGGAAATGGAAACATAGATACCAAGTATTCATTAACTTAACTATTTAAACAAATTAAACCAACCTTGTTTTGTGCTTGAGTGCAAGTTTTGAAGTACTCTCCAAGACAGACGATGGCGGCGAAGCTTCACCCGAAAACCCCTTCATCTCAAGATCAACAACTGCTACATCTTGTTGTTGCATGACTTTATTGGAGAAAGGAGGGGATGATGATGATGATGGACCAGGCAGCTGGTAAAAGGGCTTGTAAAGCTCCTCTAATAATGCATCATTTCTGGATTCCACAAAGGAATCACCAAACAAGTTGTAAGATTGGGGAGTGAAGAAGAAATGATCTGGTGCTGGATTCATATCCATTGATGGCTGATGATGAACTACTGCTTGGAGGCCACAGTTGTCTTCAAAATCCACTATGCACTCACCCATCAAAGTCCTTTGTTCCAAGCTGGGAAACTAAAACCAAATCTATATATCCTCTTTTGTTTGTTTATTTGATTAGTATGGGCATAATTATAGTTGGTGGGGGATATTTAAAGAGAGGTGTGGAATGGGAATTGAACTGCGAAAAAAGTGGGATGGCAGCTTTATTTGGAAATTAATTCGTCGTCGTTTTAGTCTTTTTTGACTCTGTGAAATTGTCAAAGGGGGTGCCCAGCTGGAAATCTTACACACGTTTTCGTCAGACTTACATACATAGGTGATAGGTCAGAGGTGTATATTATTTATACAAAATCAAGTTCCACGTTTGACTTCATATTAAGAAAAGAAATTTGATTTTACGGTGGAGTGCCCTGTTTGGACACTGTTTGACACTGTTTGAAATTGTTTTGATGTAGACAATTTGTCAAATAAGGAAATATTTGAAAGTGGAACTTAATTTTGGGACTGCGAAAAGAAAAGGCGGAACTTGTTTTTGAATCGGAGGGAATATTTATATACTCCGTATGTAATGCGTAGTAATAATAACAATAATAATATATGCATACACTAGTTGTCCCTTAATGGGAATATACGTGCATGCTTACCTCACATCACCACCTTCTATCGTTCAAAAGGTAGTTGAATTCCTCAACTAACATAAAAAGAAATTTAATTGGAAATTGCAAGTACTATGAATGTTCAAATTTAGATTTATCTTACAAAATTTTAAATTTAGTAATGTAAGGATGTTTTTACTTGGACTGTAATTTGCTGGTCTGATCTGATCTGGTCTCTTTGTATTTTTATAACTATCTAAGTCTGGTCTGGGACTGAAAACAGTCCAAGTAAAAACATCCTAACATGTAAAGATGTAACTTAATTGAAAGCTATAGGTTTATGGTATGTGCTAATTAAAACTAGCAATTCTATATACTTAATATAGTGTCAAAGAAGGTATGCTCTTTATTAAGTTGTACTAGCATTTTATTGAACTCTGTATGGATAGAAAAAAGTAAAAATGTATGTGTTGGCCGAAGTCTTATAGAGAGCCTTTTAAAAACACATTAGAATTTGACTGCACACTGTTTGGCACTGTAGCGACATTATGAGAACTGTACCGACACTGTCTGTAGCGACACTGTTTGACACCATTTTGCACTATTTGGTATAGATTTGTTTATTACCAAATAGGGAAGTTAAAGAAGTGGGATATTTATTTCGGGACATCCATTTTGGGAAAGCAGGACATTTATTCCGGGACGGAGGGAGTACATATCTTACTCATTCTGCTGATATTAGTTTCATGTACAAATTACGGAGTTTTTCCACAGACTACGTTACTAAAATTTGTGTATAAACGTTTTCAATGACTACTTAGAGCCCGTTTGGTAATACTCAAATCGGCTGCATTGACGGATTCTGATGAAATTTATGAAGTTTTGCCTGAAGTGGTTGTATTGACTGATTCTGCTGATTTATGAAAATTTATATTTAAAATATACGGTGTATATTTTTATTAATTAAATAAAGAAAAAAATGTACGAAAAATAGCTAAAATGATGCACTATAGTAACTTCAGCCAATATAGCAAGAAAAGTAACTGCAACCTTATTTTTTCTTATTATTACACAATTCAGCTCGAGAAATCAAAAGTTACATGTTTGGTGAAAATGGCTGATAAGCCTGATATTACAGGGCCGGCCCAGGGGCTGTGCAGGCAGTGCGGTCGCACAGGGCCCAAGTTCACGGAGGGCCCAATAGGCAATAGTTAGAGTAATTAACTGTTCTGAGCCAAATAAAAAACATGCAGCATGCGGGAATCGAACTCAGGTTACATACAGAAAGAAGCTAGATACATCCCAACTTACCAAGTTATCTAATCGGAATATAATGGACATTATTAGTACAAATACTTGAGCGAAATCAATAAAAATTACATCCGTTTATTGTATTCCTATACGTATATATACTTATTGGTAAGTTAACTTTATTGTATTCCTATACGTATATATACTTATTGGTAAGTTAACTACAGTATTATTGCTATTACATTACTATACTACCGTACTCCGAATATAGGAAAAATTGAAAATAATAATCCCAACTATTCCTGGTCCGTTGACAATAATCCCAACTATTGATTATTTTTTTATAATCTCAACTATATGGACCGTCCGCCAACAATGGTCCATGACCATATATTACCTCCTATAACAATTTATTTTTAAATAGAAATTAAGCGTAAAAATTAAAAGTTGGGATTATTTATAGGGATTACTTGCTATATCTCTTCTCATTCACTTTAAAAACTACAAAAATTTATTTATAGGGACCATTATTGGCGGAAGGTCCCTATAGTTGGGATTATTCTGAAATAATCGATAGTTGGGATTATTATGAGCGGATCGCCAATAGTTAGGATTATTACTATCAATTTTCCCCCGAATATACTTAATTTGTAAGTTACGTTCTTGATTTCTTTATAGTTATCTATATCAATTTTTATTAATTTGGATTTCTTTTATTATGATTTTTTTATAGCAATCAAGATAAGTTTTTCATTACATTTTATAATTACTTTTTTATTTTTAAGTGTATTATTTTCACTACATGTGTTATATATAATATTCCATCGATCCCAAATTGAGTTGTAAAATTGACTTTATTCACTTAATCGGGATATTAATTCTTATTTAAATTTTATCTTGGATTTTGGAGCATTGTAGAAATTTTAATGTAGTTTCTGAATATGTAAATTTAATTACTCCGTATTAGAATTGAATTAATTATCAATAGAGAGGATTTAACTTTAACATTGATACGGAGGGAAATATTTTTTTATAATTTAGGGCCTTTTTATTTAATTTCGCACAGGGCCTTCAAAATCTCAAGACCGGCCCTGCCTGATAAGCCGAAAAACGGATCACCAAATGGTCTCTTATAAACTCGATCATACTCCGTATTAAATTTTAAAGACTAGGTAGTAGTAATTCTTTAAAATGAATTTGTTTTTAGCTATTGTATCCAAAAATAATTATTCAACTCGTAAAGGTATAGGTAGGTTTTCTTTAAAGGATAAGTTGTGTTTCATACTATCTCTTTCTCCCCTAAATACATCTCAATAATTAATGTTATTTAACTATTCATTATTACTATTTGTTACCCAATGTGAATATGATCGATATTCATGTTATTCGAAAAACTAGATTGATTCCTCGTAAAAAAAACTAGATTGATTTTCAACGTAGTTTTTTTTGGTCAAATTGTTTATTGAAACACAACTTGTTTGAGTGAAAGAGTACGAAAATTCAATAAAAAGCATCATGCATTGTTGGACATTATTACTGCTCCGTCCGTATATTTCACAAATATTGACATTTGAAAATTGTTAATAATGATGGTATAGGAGCATCTCGATCTAATAAAGTTGATTTTTTTAGACCCATTCTACGATAGTATAAGTAATTAAGTACGGAGTATGTTATATCATACAAAAGGTTAGATACTCCCTCCCATCCATTCTTTTTAATTGCAACATTTCCATTTCTGTTTGCCAATATAAACTTTGAGTATCGGTATGTCACATCTTATTAGTAAATTAAAGAAAATTTAAAATTAGAAAAATTCAACACATTTTCAAAAAATAAATTTGTAATACGTAGTATATTATTAAATAAAATGTAGCAATGTAGAACATGTAAAAGACTAAAAGTGCAAAATTCAACTATTTGTTTGGGCAAATGAAAATATTGGATAATGATTTTGTAAATTAGATATAGCATACTCCATACTCGGTATAGGTCATGAAGTGTACTCCATGCGTTCTTTTTATTAGTCCTTCTTTCCTTTTGAGACGTTTTTTTTTATTTGTCCTCCTTTCCCTTTAAGGAAAGTTTTTGAGAAAATACCCCCACTTTTATTACTTTTATCCCACTTACTTTTTACAAACTACTTTCTCTTTCCCATTTTACTACTCCGTATCACTTTACTCTTCTTAATACACTCTCTTTCCTACTTTATCACCACTTTACTCTTTTTAATATACCATCATTCCTACTTTATTATTTACCCTACACACTCTATACTTACCCTACTACTTTATTATTAAAACTCGTGCCAAAGTCTAAGATGACTAATAAAAAAGAACGGAGTTAGTATTTAACTATTTATTGGGTTACCCCCATGTGCGAGAGACCTTATCCTCGCAAATGCGAATTTGATACTCTGTACTTTGTATGTTCCATTTTCGCCTTATTAAATGTTTTTTTTTATCTAACATGCTTAATTTTGTCATGACCAAAATACCGATATATGTAATTGGATTGAATTTTTTTATCTGGTTTGATCAGAGCTGATATGAATAGGTCTTGTTTGAGCCGATAAATGTCTAGTGTATATATATTTTATGATTGTCGAAATTTGATCTCGTCTAATCTACTCTGATTTGATCTGGGACTGGAATAAGTCCAAGTAAACACATCATAAAAAAGACATAAGTTACTACGGAGCAGGCACGTGCCTTATGTTAGGCTAGAGAGGCCCAAGCCTCAGGTCCCCAAAAAATTGAAAAAATTAGGGGCCCATAATTTTTTAAACATTACTATTATTATACCTATGTATTTTCCAAGACCGTCGCCATTTGGGGCGGTTCCTGGTGAACTTTTTTGATGAAATTTTTTGAGCATATTCTTCATTAAATCTAATTTATCCATACCAAATTTCAGCAACAAATTCAATCGGGAAGACAGTCAAATGAATTTTTGAAGATAACTGCGCAATTAAACAGCAGTATATTTCAGAAAATCATTTCACTGCCTTATTTGTTGAATTTTTAGCTGAAATTTGGTATGGATAAAATAGACTTAATGAAGAAGATGCTAAAAAAATTTCATCAAAAAATTCCACCGGGAACCACCTTATATGGTGACGGTCAGGCAGAACCTCTTATATAAGGGGTGATGTGCACTTTTTAAGTTAGCTCGAGGGCTGATTTGTAGAGAAAATTAATAATAATATTGTTGAGGATTCCACTAAATTATGTATCTAAAACTGTGTGATGGGTTTTATTTAAGTAATTTTTTAATACATTCAATGTCGTTTTGTGACAAGGGAAGACTTCTATTGAAAAATTGTGTTTTTGTGGTATTTAATTATTCAATTTTAGTGAATTTATATGATAAACAAACACTATATATGGGACCCATGTTATGAAGCTCGACTCAGGCCTGAGTTTAGGTGGGACCGACAAGTATTTTGATTGATCCTATCAAGGATAATTATTTTAACTTTTTTCCATGTAATTTTTATCTTATTTTTTAACAAAATATATTTTAAATGTAATTACTGCGTAGTATAATTTAACAAATTCATCTGGTATTATGGGCATTCAGCCAATTTAAGTGAAGGCGACTTAATATATTGAGAGCCCGTTTGGAGAACTCTGTTTTCGGCTTATCAGGCTTATCAGCCAGCTTTTTCACCAAACACGTAACTTTTACTTTCGCGCGCTGAATTGTGTAATAAGCCGAAAAAGTAAGGTTGGAGTTACTTTTCTGGCTGTATTGGCTGAAGTTACTGTAGAGGATCATTTTAGCTATTTTTACATATAATTTTTTCTTTAATTTATTAATAAAATATATTTTTAAAATATTTTTTTCTTAAATCAGCAGAATCAGCCAAAACAGCCACTCCAGCCAGAATATCATAAATTTCAGCAGAATCAGCCAAAACAGCCGATTTTGGTGCTACCAAACGGGCTCTGAGTATGAAGTATTATCGTATTTAGAATATCAACCAATGTCAGCGTCTATGGCACCCTTCCGACACGGCGCCGCAAGAAAAATAATATTCTGATCGGAAGTTTCTTATTCTCAATTCACACTGCTCAAGGGCGATCTACATTTACTTACGTACATATGACATCCGCATGACCTGTTTTCAAACGTACATAGTGGTAAGAATGTAACTATATGACCCAATTTTTACAAAAAAGGACGACATTCATTCCCCACAAAAAAGGACGACATTCATTCCCCATAAATACAAAAGAGTTAGTTAGGATGATGCAAAATGAGTGAAAAACTACCATAAATACTTACGAAAGTTATGCATTTTTAATTTTTTATATGATGACTTCTTATTACTGAAATAAAAAACTTAGGACATGTTTACTAATAGCCTAATATTAAATTAGGAATTCTATGTATCTTTGGAAACTCTTTTTAGTATAAATATATATGTCAGGTACCCTATTGGGTAACCTTCCCATTATTTCACATGCTATCAAGAGCCTAAATTTTTTTTTCTCTCCCTTAAACCCTCGATCTTCTTCTCACGCAATGAGCTCGGCCGCAGCCTCCTTCTCCGCCGAAGTCTCCAGCTCCTCCATGGACACCTTCACCGTTGCTTCTACGTCTTCGACCACGGCGCCGGTTGCATCCTCCTTTTCCGACGCTGCCGTCGTCCTCACCAGCGCCCCAGTCACCATGGCTGAGTCGCAGCAGGTGACTCCGTCTCCAGCAGGTTCAGTTGTCCATCCTGCGTCTTCCTTCTTCGGTACGGATGGAGCGTATTCTCTGTTTCAAACGCTTCCTCCAGTGTTTCCATGGCAGCAAACTGCCTTCTCAAATATTCCAGGCAGCCTCACCTCCACTCCGATGCACTCTGCCACGCAACCGACGCCTACCCGTCCAGGATACTTTGGCTCTACATTCTCGGGTACTCCTGGCCTATCTAGACCGATGGATACTTCCCTCTTTCAGTCTCCACTGGCTGCTGTTGCTCAATCACTACTACAAAAAACACTTTTCGAGTCGCCTATAAATTGCTTTACGCATCGCTTTAGAGGCGATGCAATAGCCACCGATGCATAAGGTAACACATCTATTGCATCGCTCTTTAGGCGATGCATAAGGTAACTTTACACCTCGCTTATTTGATCGAGGCGACTCCAAAAGTTATTTTTCACAGTTACTAATACACATCGCTTTTAAATTGTAGGCGACTCGTAAAGTTATTTTTCATAATTAGATAAAACTGATTTTTTTTTTGCTTAAAATGAACTGAAATGGAGGCGGGCTACTGCTAGAATACCTCCAATGGGCTCCACTAAATGTAAAATTACTAAAACATCAAATATAATGTAAAATTGTAGCTTGGCTAACAAACTGGAAAGTCACGAATCAATCTACAGCTCAAATCATAAAGGTTTACATAAGTGATAAAAAGTCATCACAACTAGAGCAACCAAGCAAGTAATATCCAAGATCATAGAAATAGTCACAAACCATGTCTAGCAATTTTTGCTAATATATTACACACACTGATTACTAAAATATCTAGCCCAAGCATCTCTAATGTCATCTATCTGCAATTGTGAATACGAATCTAGAGGAAGAAGCTGTGACAAAAAATATTGAACTTTGTATCAATGTTTTTGGATTGCAGATTTCTGTCCATAGTTTCTCTAGCAATATACTAGCAAAATGAGCTTGTGAATACATGTAGTACCTTTTGTGTAGGTTTCTTTCCTAGCAATCCAAGAGAGATATCATACATATATCTCATCACGTAATAGCCAGACTCATCTTTGTGTGATTGCTGCGGACTCTGTATCATAGTACATTAGTACACAAATCAAATCACTAAAAAACAATCAAACTATATAATAAAATCCAATGGATAAAACTTACTTTAACTTCAGACCACTTTAGACAGCTTCTAGATCCTTTTTTTAAGTTCAGGGTTCGATATGCCCTAAAAAATTAGCATGCATCAATTTCATAAAAAACGATAAATGCATATCCGTGTAAATAGTAGGAAATACTTCATTCTATGTTCTTATATGGAGTATTTTAAAGGGTTGTTTATGATTATGGTCTTATCTTCTACATTGATGTGGTAAGCACTGTTCGGTTCTCTAAATGGGTCCACCCCTAATATTAGATATCAGACCTTTACAGTCATAACAACCTTAACACCCTATATCTGTTGTCAGTAGATAATGTACCAGACTTCAAGCAAGTAAAAACATAGCTACTGCACAAGGATATTAAAAAAAAAAACTGGTGATAACAAGAAACATGGTAGTTTACATCAAGCGACTCTTTGCCAAGGAAAAAGAAACAACGGCCAGGTTATGCATTGACTTGACAGCATACTCAATGATATGCTCCAAGGGAACACCTATATTCTGTCAGTTATTTTCACCTTATAATTTCATTGCACTCACAGGACCTTGGAAATGTGCAGCAGTAATTCAATAAACCACTATTCACTTTATGTAACACAAGTGAAGCCAGAATTTTAGAACGATAACACAAAAGTAGTTAGATAAAAGCAAAATAATAGAAATGGCATTACAGAGAAGGAGCATTCAGTTTGCCATACACAGCCAGCTCAACTAAGAAGAGAAAGAAAGTATATTCCATATGTAGAAGTAAATATACTATAACTTCTCACTAAAAGAAACATGACCTTTGATTATCATTCCTAAATACATTGTTAATTATCATGCAATATAAATCCATTGTTGCAGCAAAGCAGTAACCATGAGAAACTTACAAAGATATATGACCTTTGATTTGCAAATCTTCAAATCCGAGTCCCATTAAGCCAACTCCTAGCGAATTGAAGATAAAAGCCTCACCTTTTTCAATGATTATCACAACGAGTATCCATTGATGACTACATAAAAAGATTAATTAGTTCTTAGATTAATAAATTAAAGTGATACAAAAAGGTAATGACTAGACTAGAACACATACCATTGATGAAGGGGAGCAAATATGTATTTTTTCATACTTGATTGAGAAAGAGAATGAGTCAAGTAACCCGCAAGATTAGAGGGATGAGTGTTGATCATTGCAAGCTTTGAGGGACACAAAAATCCGATCTCACCTTTGATTTTATCAAGTTTGGAATAAGAGTGCAAAAACCTAAACCGATTACATAGAAATTAGTACCCAGTACTTCTAATAATTTAAGAAAAGCTAAATGTTTTTAATACCTTATCCAAATTTGAATAATCGATGTATGTAGCCATCCCATGTTAAAAAATTGCTCAATGTCATCAGCAGTTATGTAGGTCTTCAAGTTTTGGTTACCAGGACAAGAAAAAAGATCTTTGCCAAGCTCAACATCAAAACAAAAGCCTCGATTCTGAAATTGAAGCATTTCGTAGAGTTTCTTGTAACTAGGTGGCAATGTTTCAAGAGTGGCAGCGCTGATTTTGAAGCATGGAATATTTTCATCCCCTTCCTCATGGGAAAGTGGTTGAATAACTGACCCAACATCAACTGATTTTTTACCTATTTGTGTCCTCTTCTTTTGACGTGATTCGGTAAAATGCTAAATAAAAACAAGTAGAGTAAATTGAGATATCGAAAGTGTTCACTTTTTTTTACTAAATCATAAAAATATTACTATTTTACCTCCTTTGATAAAAGAACTTGTTTCTGTGGCCATTGTGCCCAACTTCCTTCTACATCTCCAAGAAAATCATGTCCAAAGAATGGCACTGGTAAAGGTGTACTCTCCTCTCCATCATATACATGCAGTATTTTTACTTTGAAATGATCTTTGAGCAACGGAGCACCATGAACGAGCTCTCCAGTTTGGTGTTTGCATAATGTTGCTTTTGCCACTTTCTGAGCGTCAAGGATTAATAGCTCACAGGGAAGTTCGCCCTATATATACATTGACAAATGAATCAGAACTGATTATTAACCACAGGGAACTTACACAAATGATATGGTAGAGACATAAAACCAAGATATACCCGTGTGGTATTTGCAAATGGGTTGGGATCAAAAGAATGGACACTGCTACTTTGTGGAACAGGAGGGGTATTGTCTGTCATCTGAACCTCAACATTAGAAGGTGGAGTTATTCCACAAAATTTCAGGATCTCATATGTTTTTTGCTCCCACTTCACTTCTAATTCAGCAATAGTTTGATCTCTCACCCGCTTGGCATATTCTTCCAATTGTTTAAGCGGTATTAGTGTCTCATTTTGGCGACGTCTCTTTCTTTTAAAGAATGATGTGAGATTTGCCGTCCCTGCTATTCCCCTCACACGACCTCCATGCTCAGGATTTCCAAGCGACTCAGTCAATATATCATGACTTCCCACAGGTTCAAACTCTCCTACCTTCTCTTTTTCCACCAAGTCATGCTATTTAAAACTCACATTCAAATATTCAATTGTTAACAACTGATAAGTCCGTATTTTGACACGTATTTGATGCGTGTTGAGATCGAATTTTGATGATTTTCCTAGTTTTAAGGTATTACAAGTCTCAATTTTAGCTCAAGTTATGTTTACCGGGCGTTGGTTCGAGTTTTGTGTTGTTTGTAGTCAAAATCAGGGAATTTGAGCCCGACACCGACACTTGAGGAACAATCGGGATGATTTGAGAAGCATTTGAGAATGATTTGATAGCTTTGGAGGTCACCGGAAGATTCACGATGAAGATTTGAAGGAAAAAGAGCTCTAGGATTGGCTTCGGGATCAAAAGAAGATGAATGAAGCTTAAAAACGACAATCAGAATGACCTTCTGTCAATCGTTCAAGCTTATCTCTTTGTAGGAACAACCAATGGACACGATTCAAGTTGCATAAGAAAGCCAACTTCAAGAGCTACAAATCATATGAAGACACCTTTTCAAGAATCTGAGAGGAAGAAGGTGAAAACAGACGATGAAGTCAGATGATCTCTGCTGCGATTTCAGAAAGACACCTTCCACCGTATTGATCATATCTCTTGATTGGATGATTCAAATCACATTCGGCAAATTGGGGTGGATAGAAGACTTCATTATCTACAACTTTCATGAAGGAAGTTTTGTCAAATTCGGAAGTTAAGTAGGCACGATCGTGCCCTCAAAGTCAGACACGATCGTGCCTGGAGGGAGGCACGATCGTGCCTGCCCAAAATGCGCGTTTTTGCTCCGGAGGCACGATCGAAGACACGATCGTGCCTGGCATCGTGTCTGGATCCGAAAATCCTAATTCAGCTCAAATTTCACCCGATTTTTCTATTTAAACAGCCTGTAAACCCCCGTTTTCAAGGGGGAGCTTAGAGAGAGTGCCTAGCACGAATTTTAGAGGGTTTTTTAGCCTTGTTCATCAATCTTTTGGTATTCTTTGTAAGTTCCACCTTTTTAATTAATGACAATTAATTCTTTTTATTCCAATTCTATTGATTCTTCAATTATGAATTGGGAGTAGTTTTAATTAGGGATTTGGGATTGATGAAGGGGTTAATCATGATGTATGGCTAGATTCTTTTCGGTTTAATTGCATGAATGCCGTTTAATTTGTGTTTGAATAATTTAATTGATATCTTTTGTAACCTAGAATCGCGACTAGAATTACAATTGCATGTAGAATAAATTAAGAGAGATCTAATTTGTTCTAGGACACATTCACGCACACTTAATTGTTCGCTAAGAGATTAGTAGCGATTAAGGGGCCGTAAGCTCGCTCGTCTTGGCAATAATTTAGGATCCTGTCGCATGAGAGATCAGCCTGGTCCCCTAAATTATTGTACTCTACGCCGCGAGAGCGGTAAGAACTTAGTAATGATTAGCTAGGCTCAATTAAATTAATTTCATGTAATTAGGCCTGATCTGCCAGAAATCTGGTTACCCCGGAATCGATCCTTGTTCCCTTCGTCATTAATTAGAAAGAACCCCCTAGTTTAATTGTTCGCATTAGATTTATTTTCCAAACCAACCAATTCTCGCACGACGCTTTTATTTTATTTTCTTTTTAATCGCTGAATTTAATTAATTCTTGATTCCCTTTTGTCCGTCCCTGTGGAGACGATACTCGTACTTACACCACTATATTACGATCTATTTTAAGTGCGAGAAAACTCACATCAACAACTTACAAAAGAAAACAAGCAACAGTTAAGTTTTAAAAGTTGAGATACTTACAATTTTGTTTACCACCAATTGAGTCTTAGGGTTAGGGATGTTCCCTTTTCTGTCAGTTCTTCCACCAATCCATGATATATAACGAGGTCTAGCTACCACCGTGGATGTTGTTGATTCAGTACCTGAAGAACCGGTTGTAGACAAAAGAGCTTCCTTAACTTTAGCATGCTTGTATTCTTGCTCCGCACGACTATATCCGCCACGACCCATGCGATGGGGGTGCTCATTTTTTTCCTGGTTAGATCGGTTCTGCTCACTTATTTCCTGTACAAAACATATAGATGTACATGTTAAGATGTAAATGAAAGAAGAGAGGTAACCCATTCTTTATGTTAACTCCTATAAACTGCAATTTCTAAAATAAAAATTAGAGAACCTCAATTTCTGAAACAAATATGAAACAATAAGTCAAAGTATAATTGGAAATAAATTATTCATTCTAAACTAATTATACAGAATAAAAGCAAGGCCAAAGTGATGCTTAAAACTCCTACGTACCTAATTAGATGTTATTTGACTTTCTACTAACCCATACACCTTCATCATGATCATTGCGTAAATAATGCTCACTCAAGTCATCTTCGATAGGTGGAGTATTCTGATGAACAGAAAGTAGAGGAATCTCATCAGTATCCTCGTACTCTTCTTCATTTGGTACCAAATCAACAACTGCAACACCGTGTCTTTTACTTTGAATAACAATAGACCATCCCTTCTCAGCCGGGTCTGTCATGTAAAAGACTTGCTTTGGTTGTGATGCCATTACGAATGGCTCGTCAAAGTGAGCTAACTTATCAAAATTTACTGATGTATACCCTAATCCGTCATTTTTAACACCTCTCCTTATATCCACCCATTTGCATCGAAACACAGGGACCCTAAATACAGTGAAATCAAGTTCAAATATGTCTTCAATAACCCCATAATACGACTTTTGTGCATATTCTGGTCTATTATCTTTGGCACTAGAAAAGTGCAGTGCCGATGCTACTAAGCTCACACCACTATTTTGCATAGTACTGGAATCATCCCTCCTCTTGGTATAGAAACAATACCCATTTATATCGTAACCCTCATAAGATATGACATTGAGTGACGGGCCAGCTGCTAACCACTTTACATTTTCATTAACATCATTTGGTGTTTGAGCCATCTCAAGAGTCAATTTCTCTTTGAACCAGCTAATAAATGATTGATTGTGCTTATCTCTAAGCCTTTTTTCACTTACTCCAAGATTCTTAAGCCTCACAAGGTTCAGGTGCATTTGCAAATAAGGACTCACTTCGACACTTTGTTGTAATATGTACAAGTAAGCCTGATCAAGTATGCCACGACTAATAGTACAAATTCGACGTCCAATAGTCCCCTTACCTAGAATTCTCCCTTCATCGTGACGCGGTCTAGGAACTCCGATTTTTTGTGTATCTGCCAGATACTCATTGCAAAAGGTGAGGACTTCCTCATTCAAATAACCTTCAATCATGGAACCTTCTGGCCGAGATTGATTCCTAACATACCCCTTCAAAATACTCATACTGCGCTCAAAAGGGTACATATATCTCATATAAACAGGCCCACATAATTTTATCTCTCTCACCAAATGAACTACTAAATGCACCATGATGTCGAAAAATGATGGAGGAAAATACATCTCAAGCTTACACAATGTGACAATAATTTGTGCTTGCAAAGCATCCAATGTATCAGGATCAAGTACTTTGGAACATATAGATTTGAAAAACAAACAAAGCATGATTATGGCATGTCTGACCTGTTTTGGCAAAATTGATCTGATCGCCACAGGCAATATCTCTTGCATTAAGGTATGGCAATCATGAGACTTCAAACCAACTAATTTTAAGTCTTTTAGGGACACAAGATTCCGTACATTTGATGAATACCCATGAGGGACTTTCACACCATGTAAGGATTCACATAAATTTTCTTTCTCTTTTTTAGACAAAGTGAAACAAGCAGGAGGCAGGTAATAACGCTTTCCTCTTTTTTCAGCTTTCAGTTCTTCTCGTATGCCCATATCAACCATGTCGTCCCTAGCTTTTTTTCCATCCTTAGTCTTACCTGGCATGTTCAAAAGTGTCCCAATGAGACTATCAAAAACGTTTTTCTCGACATGCATGACATCAATACAATGTCTTACTGACAAATGCTCCCAATATGGGAGGCTCCAAAACGCAGACATCTTTTTATAACAACTCTGTTCATTCAAAGGCTTGTAAGGTTTGCCAAATATACAATTAAGTTCTTTAACACGTTCAAAAACTTGCTTCCCCTTTAGAGGGTGGGGGGCAGACCCAATTTCTTGTTTTCCATCAAAAGCTTTTCGTAGTCTTCGGTACGGGTGAAAACGAGGCAAAAATCTTCGATGACCCCAATACACAATCTTCTTACTCTTTGCCAAAGGAGTAGCTTTCGTATCATCTTCACAAATAGGGCATGCTTTATACCCCTTAACTGTGTGGCCAGATAAGTTCCCATACGCGGGAAAATCATTGACGGTACAGAATACCATGGCGCGTAATGTGAAAGATTCTTGACGATGCGAATCAAACACGGGCACACCTTCATCCCAAAGCATCTTTAAGTCCTCAATCAATGGTGCCAAATAAACATCTATGTCATTCCCTGGTTGCTTAGGTCCCGAAATCAATAAAGACAACATCATATACTTGCGTTTCATGCATAACCAAGGAGGTAAATTGTAAATAACCAACATAACTGGCCATGTGCTATGTTGGTTGTTCATGTTACCAAATGGGTTGATTCCATCAGTACATAAACCCAACCTCAAATTTCTTGTTTCACAACCGAAATCTGGAAAAACATAATCAATATTTTTCCATTGTGGGGAATCTGCGGGATGTCGTAGCATCCCATCATCTTTTCGTTGGTTTGCATGCCATGTTACGTTCTTTGCATCTTTGGAGTTAGCAAACAAGCGTTTAAACCTTGGCACTATAGGCAAATACCATAACACTTTAGATGGAGGGCCTTTTTTTATGCTATGACCAGTGTTCTGTTTATATCGTGATGCTCCACATCTTGGACATTGTTCTAAATCCTTATACACCTTTCGATACAAGACACAATCATTGGGGCAAGCATGGATCCTCTCAACTTCTAAACCCATTGGGCACAAAATTTTCTTAGCTTGGTAAGTAGAATTTGGAAGCTCGTTATCCATGGGAAGCATGTCTTTCAACAATATCAACA